CCGAAAACACTTGATGACTAGGGTAGAAACATCTGGGAATCTCAATATACGATAGTTTGTTGATCTCGCAGGGTAAGGAGATTCTTTAAGACTTTTCTTCTAGGATGATCCTCTTATTGGATGTGTTTAACTTAATTTGAGATTAACCTTTTTTGAAAGGCAGTTGCGGGGAGAATAATAGGCGGAATAACCTTTCTTTAAAGAGACATATGCTAGGAACGTCACAATTATGATTAGGGTTAGCCAATAAAATACGTAACATAGCGAACTGTTATACAACCAATTAATCAATTTCAGCTACGTCCAATGAAAACTACGTTCCACTTTCAAAATGACACATTAATAAAATACATTATTTTCCCAAGAAGGTTAACAGGACAAGAGTAACTGACAAGTTTGAGATAAGACATCGCGTCATCCTGTTTATCTTTCAAGTGCTATATATACAGAAGATAAGAAATGTGTGACTAATTCCAATGTCACTTTACTTACTGACACATTCATGTGTAACATATTATTTGCAAAGCTAATATGGATGCACTGTTCAATAAAATAACTGTAAAATGATTTGAATGCGATCACTAGTGCCCCCCAGTGGCACAGCGGTACGTCTGCGGACTTAGAACGCTAGAATCCGGGTTTCGATACCCGTGGTGGGCAGAGCACAGATAGCCCATTGTGTAGCTTTGTGCTTAATTACACACAAAACGATCACTAGTATCATATGAGGAAGCGAAAGCCGCGCCATTTATTCCATCACCGGTATTCAGTCGCCCCCCCAGTAGCACAGCGGTATGTCTGCGGACTTACAACGCTAGAATCAGGGTTTCGATACCCGTGGTGGGCAGAGCACAGATAGACCATTGTGTAGCTTTGTACTTAACTACAAAGAAACAAACAAAACTATAAATTATAATAACACACTTTTTACCCGTTATGAAGTCCGGTGTAAGGTAATTAACGTCTGTTGGAGTTACGAGAGGTGAGAAAGCAGCTGACTTTTGGTAAATCCATAAAGGATTACGAGATTACAACATTAATTCGCTAGAAAATTACTGGAGGGATCTGCCGCCTTTCGTATTTAGCCACTTAGGAGATTATGGAGCCCTCTATAATCATGAGAAGTCGCAATACGATATAAGTGTGTTTGGTATGATGTTTGAGAAAGGAATATTAAAGACAGGCGTTTAACTGACGACGCTCTGTTACGATATTAAATCCCTTTTATCTACAGACCATAAAGATTATTATAAATCATCAGTTTTAAAAACGTATTTTATTTGTTCGTTTGTTTCACCAATTCAGGTAAATTTTAACTTATAGGTCAGAAGATAGGCATCTAGCCACTAGTACCCACCGTCAATTCTTGGGATGCACTAATATAATTAATGTGATTTGGCCGCTGCTCATTCAGGTCCCCAAAGTACAGTCAGAGAATGGTCAGAAATGACTTGCTATGAATGGTCAGGAGTATCTTAAAGAAATTTGCTGTGAATAATTTCCTACCACGAGGCCTGGCATGACCTGGTGGTTAGTGTGCTCGACTTACAATCTGAAGGTCGTAGTTTCGAATCCCCGTCACCAAACATGCTCGCCCTTTCAGCTGTGGGGGCAGCTGATCATCACCACCCATCGCCAACTCTTGGGCTA